AGTGCTTTCAATCCCTCCTGATTTGTCTTTGCAGCTTGTATGTTCATTCGTCAGTGGCCCAGTGGAGGAAATGTGTTCATGCCATTAAACTTAAAGATTCTATTCTCAGTATTGTGTAAGTTCTGAAAGAATATCATGTAAATCATAGTGAATTTTTGTTTAAAAAAAAAAAAAAGGTTTATTTTTTCTCCTAAGATATTTGGAATGTCAATTGCCATAAATGCATGCATATTCTTACAAGGGCTTTGGAAAGTGTTTGGGGAGTAAGGAAAATGAAAGGAATCTTGTATCTGTTGGATGTACTATGATTCAAATCATAAGTTTCTTGGTAGCTATATGCTCAAATATTACATATCATTGTTTCGTTTAGGCATTATAACTAAAAATATTTTAAACTACTTGAATTGTACTTAGAGTATTATTGTAGAAATCAAAGCACTAGTGTTAATGTGAGTAAAAAACTATGCTGAACTATTTAGAAAAGAAAAACTCTAAAATTGTATATTCAGACTTAATCTAATGGTATGTACTTGTGCTTCCCTCCTTTTCCTAGACATGTAAAAGGAATAGTATTAGTTGCACTAGCTGATGGAACACTAGCAATATTTCACAGAGGAGTTGGTAAGCTTTCTATTGATCTTGAAAGAATGAAGTTGTTACAGTGCTTATGAAAGAAATGTACCATTTACAGTGTTTGGAAAATGTATTCCCCAGTGGCCTTTTTACAGACAAATCTTTCTTATACTTCTATTGCAGTTTTGAGTATCATTTAAATATTTAACCAAGTGCAATACTTGGTAAGTTCAGGCAAAATTAAAACACAGCGATTGGGAATTCCCTATTCCTTTCTTTTTCATAGATAGAGATCTAGATTCTCCTACTTGGTATCACTGCTGTAAATTCTCGCTCTGAAGTTCCTGTAAGTTGCTTCAAGGCCTACAAAGTGGTTGAAATTGTTGAATAAGTTTATGAACTATCTGGCTTTCTGCATTTATACTCATCTCTGTGTACCCCCTGCAAACCCTATACAATTTTCTCTGCAAACTGCCCATCTAAGCTTCAGTTTTTTTATGCTTTCTTCTGAAACCTCTTTTGGTTGCTTAGAAAACCTTATGTTTTCACTTAAATTATCACAAGTGTAAGACCTATATACATAATGCAAAACTACAAATATAGGCTGAATTGCCTTAGTGGCCTGTTTAACTGGACCATGTAAAAAGTCTAGTTTTGATTGTAGTTTGATAGTGGAATCTTTTTTTTCTTTTCCTTTGTGTGTATGGGGTGTTTGTTTATTTTTGATCGCTTTTTTTCTTAATGGCATTTTTTTTTTATCTTCCATAAAGTTCTGCAGCCCTTTATCCCTTGTTAAAGCAGACTTCCTGATTTTAGGCTTATCTCGACTGTTACTTGGTCCAGAAACTGGATCAACCTGTGAGCTGCTTTAGCTTGCTGCTTCAGAGTTCTTTTATAAGCAGTGTAATTGTTGCTAATGACCTTTGAGGAAAATGTGGGCTTGTTCTGACTCCCACAGAAATTTCTGCACTGCTCTGGTTCATTCCTTGAATTTCTTCATATCCTAGGAGGAGAAAAAGGAGAGTAGGATATGTGTGAGCTAAACAGCAAAAACCTTGTTAGTCTGTTTTTTTCATTGTTCATCATGCAGGGTAGTAACGTCTCGTTTTACTAATGTTAGTAATGGTCTGAGACCAAGTATTGACTTACCCAGGTTGTTAGTCTTAAAAATTGGGCTGTTTTTAAACAAGGCATTTGCCTGGGTTTGTGGATAGTTTGTAACTGGAAACCTATGTTTTGTTTTCTTTCCTTTTTTTGCTTTTCTTTTTAAAGATGGCCAGTGGGATTTGACAAACTATCACCTCTTAGACCTGGGCCGGCCGCATCATTCTATAAGATGCATGACAGTGGTACATGACAAAGTCTGGTGTGGCTACAGGAACAAAATCTACGTTGTTCAGCCAAAGGCCATGAAAATAGAGGCGAGTTCAGCTGATGTTTTAAGTATAATTAAACTTTGTTGTGTCTTAATGCCATCTTATCCCAAAGCTCAAACGCCAGAGAACAGTTCATTAGCACAGAAACAGGCAGCAAAACAAACTTGTTCTGGGAAATGCTATTCACTTAAGATAAATGAGTATTTCATCATTTTAGAAGAATTTGAGAAATGATAGGACAGCAGTTGCAAGGTAGCTCCTACCTTTGATACATACATATTCTATCATTATGTTCTTCATCTATCTGTCTAGAATGTCTCTACATATTTTAGAGGGGTAAATGGTCAAAACTATTGAATATATTTTCCCTCCAAAGAATATTTTGTTTCTGTAAAGGTGTTTAAGCTGGTGTTTCTGTAGTGCTGTTGAGTGTTCATAACATTCCACAAGTGCAGGAAGCGGCTAAGGTTTCTGGAAACTCTTATCGGAAGTTAAAGTATTAATTTTGGTACCTGGTCTGAGATGTGGGCCTTTTAGAGGATGAATGCTCAGTTCTTGAAAATATTAAGGACCTAATTCATGATAAGTCTTTTTGAGGAGAAAAGTTTATATATGGAAAACTGGGAATGTATGGAAACAAGGGAATTGATACAACTGTGATCTCTGTTGTGATGTTGAAGGTTAGTAGGCATTTTGCATGGGTGGGTTTGTTTTTAAGGTAGTACTGGAAAGAGAAACAGCTTTTGATCATGTCTATTCTGTGCCTAGAGCTTTTGCTGAGAAGGCTCAAGGTTAAAATGGAAACAGAAGTCAGAGCAGGCTGGGATTGTAATGTAACTTAGAATGCAGCAGGAAACCATAGCTTTGTGCTCACGCTCCAGGGCAGGGAATCAACACTTTTTAGTGTTTACTTTATCAGCATCATATGGTAATTGTATCTAAACTAAACGCTGTCTGCTAGATGTGGTAGATGACTTGAGAAAACTGCCAATATTGACAGTATAAGACTGAAAGAGAAGCCCTTCTTATTTTTCCCTTTATTCCGTCAGTTCCTAACTGAAAATCTATTTTTTTGTAGAAGTCATTTGATGCTCACCCAAGAAGAGAAAGTCAAGTGAGACAGCTGGCATGGGTGGGTGATGGGGTGTGGGTGTCTATTCGTTTGGACTCTACGCTGCGTCTCTATCACGCACACACGTATCAACATCTACAAGACGTGGACATTGAACCTTATGTAAGCAAAATGCTAGGTAAGTTAAGACCATTCACAGTGTTCTTACACCTGTTGGTGGCTGGAGCTTTCTTTTCCTGTTACTGATCAGGGACTTTGCACTGCAGGCAAAGAGGGAGGGTGGGTCCTGTTTGATGTAAAACTTGATTCTGGAATTAGAGGCCTACGTCAAGTCTGTAAAGCCTGATGAGCTCAATGGGTATTCTGATACAATTGGTTAATCCTAGCTGATGCTGACAATGTCCTTTAACTCAAAGCTGATTAAAAAAATAAGTTTGAGCAGAAATGCAAAGACATTAAAATCTTTGTGTTACTGGACTGATGCTTGGTTTTAATCCAAGAGTGGGAAGAACCCATAACTTATGTGGAAAAACTATCTTTCCTTTTCCAAGAGAGTTGGAACATAAAATTACAAATATGTTACTGCTCTGAAAACAAATAAGTTGTGTCATTCTTCTATCACTGTTTGTATAACAGCAGTTTGAGAATCTGCCTAAACACAAAAGACTCAGGTAATGTAGCCATTTGGAATCCATCCGAGAAGTGCTTTAGCCTCCTAGGTTATCTTCCAAGTTAAAATACAGCTCAAAGAATATCCCCCTCCACTTTGCTTCTGTTTGAAGTGGGAAACTATTGCATGTCTGCATGGGTTGGGAGTTGAAGTTAGAATTCTGTTATGAAACTAAACTTCTTTTTTGCTCATTTTTGATGAAAAGCATCTTTTGTTTTTAGGTACTGGTAAACTGGGATTCTCGTTTGTGAGAATCACAGCTCTTATGGTGTCATGTAATCGTTTATGGGTAGGAACAGGAAATGGTGTCATCATCTCCATTCCATTAACAGAAAGTAAGTAAAACATAAATGAATAGCACTGTGCAATATTCTGTAGACAGAAAAATAAAATATTTAAGGTCATTTAGAGGTTTACTAATGGGTAGAGAGCTTTATCAGTAGATCTGAATCTTTCAGGTATTGTAACAGAGATGGGTTCTGTGCATTGTGTAGCACATAATCTGTGTCCATGGTTACAATTCTCTGCAAAAAGGACCATCTTGAAAAGCTCCTTTGTTCAGAATTTAATAGACATGATCTGGTTTGACTAGCCAGACATTTCAAAGACATAGAGGTGTTAAGAGTATTAGCATTAATTATATATCTCTAAGTTTATTGCTTGCAAGAGAAAACTTTTATTTTCGAATTGATTTTATTTATGATCAGCTTTTATGAAGTAGCTTTTCAGATTGACTTTAGCAAGCTGATACGGTTGCTTGTACAATTTGCATGGCTGTGGTTTTAAGAATTCATCACAAAATAGGCATGAAGGACTGGAACAGCAGTATACCAACTATTCTACAGGATGTGCGCAAAGCCATTGGAGTTGTAAACAAGCTCTTCAAATAGAGCACATCAACCTGTGTTTAAAATTCCATTAGTAGATAATTCAGGTATCTGCTTAATAGAACCCAGCTCATACCATAGTCTGAAACTACTGGGGTGAGAGGGGAGAAGAAACATTCTGACAGGAGCAGTTGAACTCTTGGAGAAGGGAACAGTCCAGTGTTTGCTAAGGGCAAACAAATTGGAAGTAGGTTAAGCTTGGGAAGGGCGTTCATCCAAAAATATATATATATTATTATTATTATTTTACAAGTTGTGGCTGAGGCAAATGTAAAAGCCTATGGACAAAGGCTTCACAAAGTGCAGCAATTTGGTAGTTTTGATTGTCTTAAGTGATTAAAAAAAAAAAGTAGTGCATTGATAGGTAAAATCTTAAATTACTTTAAGAGTAAAAACTCATCATGTTATATCTGCTTTTTTTGAACAGCACATGCATATGTTTTTTCTCATACTTTTCCATTACATTGTCCATTCATTCAATAAATGTCTTTTTGCATTGCATGAGTGTACTTAAGGGAGGATAGACTTCCTAGCATGATTCTGAAATAATTAAGTCTTGCTTTCAAAAATTATAGCTCTTTGCATCAAACTTAATTTAATGTTTTCATATTTGCTACTTAAAAAAAGGGGAAAAAAAAAAAAAAAACACTCCTCTGGAAAAAGAACGCCATCAAAGCTAGAAGGTTTAACTTTAATTTTGCCAGTAGTTCATGAATCAGAACAACCATTTGTGAATCAGATGATTTTGAGAACCTGTGTTACAAATATTTGTTTCAAAGGCAGTTGCATATTACATACTCTCAGTTCCCTGGGTGTCATCAGCAGGGCATCTTACAGGCACTTGGTAACGTGAGGAGTTGTATACTATTTTGTTAGCCTCCTGCTAAGAAAAGAGAGAAAGGGGAAACTTTTGTTAATTAATGACTCTTTTTAGTGGTAAAGCACGTGAAAGTGGCCCTGTTTTCTTTATCCATTTTATACTGAAACTTTTATATCAAGATGTTCTCTGACCTTTTATTAAATCTTCTGTAATTAAATAATTGTTTTTAGGAGCTAAAATTTTGAGCTCTATCTTATCAGAAACCAAAATATGAGAGTGGTGGGTTCTCATTAATCTTTCTCCTCTACTGTCATACCTATCCATTTCCCCTTTCCTCCTTTCTCACTTTAGCTGTAATCCTCCACCAGGGACGTTTACTGAGGCTGAGGGGTAAGTGCAGATCCTGAACAAAAAAATCTATTTCCAGGCTTCTAATAGCCACTTTGAGGCTGTTTCCCCACTCCTTATAGATTTACCCTTTGTATGTTCCTAAATGTTTTTCCACTTGCAGTTACTGCATTGCAGCAGTTTTATGTTTGCTAAATGGCCACCAATCTGCTCAGCAGTTTAGTATCATCCTGTGTTGCAGCTGAACTTTCATACAGACTTTGTTTTTCTTCCAGCCAATGTGACACCATATCTTATAACTGTCATTAATCCACATCATTTACTGTCTTGTTATAAATCACTGTTTCTTTCACTACTCTGATGGTCTTTGGAATGGAGATGGCTTGTATGTCTAGCATGATCACTTTTCTATTTCAATGGATTTTACAACTCTTCAGTAAAAAACAGACATACAATTCTAATAGGGTAGCTCCTTCATGCCTACAGGTCGTTATTTTCAGAGAACTTTTTTTTTTTTTGCGGGCCAGGGGATACCCTATAGTTAGTTGGAAGAAAAATGCCTTTATATGATTAAGTACATTACGTACATTTTCACACTGAAACTAATCAGCAGCATTTTCTGTAAAGATGGTGTTTCCACAAATTATTTTTTCAAAAATAGAAAATTAAAACTTGATGTTTATGCTAGACTAATAAGAGTCCTGCTCCATTTTCTGAGGTACTTAAAATAACGAAGCATGCAATCTTTTTTTCTTTCCAGCTCTGTCTTGAATTGGCATTGCTGCCCTCCTGTTTCATTTTTATCTGAGTTGGCTTTAGCTTTTAGATGGTATCATAAGGTTTCTTAACGAATAACTATTTCTGTAATGCGTATTTTCAAGTAGAGAACACTTCTTTTCTTCTTTTGCAGCTAATAAAGCAGCAGCAGGTTCTGGAAACCGTCCAGGAAGTGTAATACGTGTATATGGAGATGAAAACAGTGACAAAGTGACCCCTGGAACATTCATACCGTATTGCTCAATGGCACACGCACAGCTTTGCTTCCACGGGCACCGTGATGCTGTCAAATTCTTTGTCGCTGTACCTGGTGAGTTTTTATTACCATTGCTCAAGTGATGTCTCTTGTTCATCCTCCTTTGCTTGGCTGAACATAATGTTTAGGCAAAGAAAGCAAGAAAGAAATTTGTACATTCAGAACAACTTGTTATTTCTTGATTTGCAAGACTTCCCAGTTCATAAAAGCAGTATTGTTAAATGAGGTGAAACGGGGTTGGTCTGAAAGAAAGAAGTGCCTGATTTTTACCCGGGGACAAGTGCTCTAGTAACAGGGTATTGCTTTTAAGAAGATGGGTTCATGATAATGAACATAAAGGTTCATATTTAAGAATCAAGTGTCCTGTAGGAAGGTTAAAAAAAAAAAAAAATCAGATGGAGAAAGTCCCTAAGGAAAGGATCTTGATTGAAAAAGCTAAGGATTTTCTAGAAGCTGCAGTGCTGGTAAAATACCTCCTCAGCACTTGTATGCAGTAGGTGTCCTGGCATGTGAACAACAGAAGCTTATTTAAGCTGACATATGATGAATAATTTTAATTGCACAGCTCAAGTCTCTAGGTCTCTTTCAGTGTCATCTCTAGACTTGTGTGTCTGTGGGAAATTTAATGAGGTGCCTCATTCTCTACTTCATATTGAACTGTCCTGAACTGATTTCTTCTCTTTTAGACAGGGAAGGAAGAGTCTGAGCGTAGCCTGCTTTCTGCCCTTTGTGAAGAATTTCTCTAGAATCCCAAGTTGAGTGTATGATTAGGCAATAAATATGTAATTCCAAAGCCCAAATACATGTGGTATTTTCTATGTAATTGTTCTGTGAATGTGGCATAAAAATGTGTTTGTATGTTTTTAATGCAGGTCAGGTTGTTTCCCCGCAGAGTGGTGGTGGATCGGAGTTAGCAGGTGATAAACCAGCCCAAGAGTCCTTAAACCAGAGTCCCTTAAAATCAATGTTGGTGATAAGTGGTGGAGAGGGATATATTGACTTCAGAATGGGTAAGATTGTCAATCAGTTTTAACTAATTTTGACCTTTTACCTCAGTGTACCTTGGGTTCTTTTGCTAATATAAAAGGGAAGTTTGTGTGTTCTGAGGGGAACAAGAGCTGTCATCCCTCTCCTCAATAAAAAAACCCAAACAACTCTGACTCCTAACTCCAGTAGAATTGCACAAGAGGCACGACTTGAGGCACTTCTGTGCAGTGCTGTAGTGAGGTGCTAGAATATCTGAGGTTCTTCTAAGCAAGCTGGAATAACCACATACCAGATGTCCTTACAGCATGCTACAAAGGCATGAACTAAAATGTCAGAGCTGTGTAGTTGCATTAGCTCAGCTATTACCTTGGTAATGCAGCAAACTGGTTCAAGAGCTAGCTCAGTCCATGTTATGTTTTGATACCTCTGACCTCCAACACAGTCTAGCTAAAAGATAGCCAAAATGTGACTTAGCCTTTCTGAAGTTGTCAGTCAGCTCCTGTTTCATCTGGTTAAACCAACATTCTTCTGTACCAACAAACAGCCTCTAATGATGTGTATGACTGTCTACATGCAGTTTGGTTAGTGCTTAGTCTGTCACCTTTGAGTCACGTTGGCTCACAAAGGGTATGGGACACAGCCATAAAACTTGTCTTCTCTTTGAACAGCAGTAATGGAGGACAGGTTTAAAGCTGCCTTGTGCCAGTGTGTGCTGAGTTGTGAAAAGCTAGAATAACTAGAAAAAGAAGGAAAGAAAACAGAGGTTTGTCATTCATCAAATAAATGAATGTTTCATTATCTCTTTTGTGTTCAATTCTTGCTCATTATGCTCAAGCAAGAACTGAAGAATATGACCATCAGAACATGGGGTTCTGGTGAAATAATTACGAAACAAGTTCCAAACTGTAATGTATATAGTCAAGATAGCAAATGTACTCATATATGAGCAGTTGCCCCCTGCCCCCCTTGCAAAAAAGCCTTTTGCAATGTTTTTCTCATAAGTCTAGTACTCCTTTATCTCTCTCCGCTTAATATTCTTTTTCACTGTACCTGCCTGAGTCGAAGCTTTTGTTTTTCAGGTGATGAAGGCGGAGAATCTGAACTCCTTGGAGAAGCTCTACAACTTGAACCTTCTGTAGCCAAAGCTGAGAGGAGTCACTTGATAGTGTGGCAAGTAATGTATGGCACTGAGTGAGCCTGTAGGATGCAGCTGGAGACCTTAGGGGAGGGAAAAAACAAAGCTTCTGCATGTTTTTTTTATTTTGTGAAACCTGTTTCACTACATGATGTTGAAGCATTTCTTTGCTGTTTAACTTTATATTGCAAATCCGTCATACCTTAACTATACAGAAATTAGCTTGTGCTGTTTTACTGCACCCGTGTTACATGGAAGAGTATAATGAACCAGAACTTTCTCAGAAGTGGTGTATACACCATAGTGAGCAATCCAGACATAGTTTTACTGTATCACAACAGTCTAATGTAGTTCACTTTTTGATAGTCTTAACTTGACTTGAGCTTCATTACAACTGAGCTTCACTTATTGGTATAACGCATTGAGTAAAACAGCAAAGTTATTCCCAGAGTATTTCAAAATTGACATATTGGTATCGGATGAATTGTCAAGATTCATCTGTATGTTAAGTGAGGGCTAAAGTAAGCTGTAAATTTCAGCTTTTGTTTTCAAACCTGGAAAATCTTGCTTAGTGTATACAGTTCCATCTGTCACTTTCATCCAATATTCTGGGGGAAAGAGCGGATTGTACAGAAATTAAGATGACAATATTTAAATAAAATTTCATGTTTTGACTGCTAAACCTTAAAGCTTGAGAACTGCTGCCCTCAATGAGCAATTTTGAGCATAGTGTTTTCCTCTTTCCTGACATGAATACATATGAACAGCTCAGTTCAAAGGGTATTCTTAAGATGATTTAAATTTGAAAGTAATTGTAAAATTCTCCATGAGGGGATACATCTTGTTCTCTTTTTGTCTTAAATCCTTATGTCCTAAGCACTAGAATGATCTTCTCTGCCTAGCTGGTCAAACTCATGAGGCACTAAAGGTGTGAAGGTTAGAGACCTCAATTAGAGCATGAGAAAAGACTGAGAGTGTACAGGCAAAAAAATGCATTCTGCCCAAGTGAGATTATAAAAGAACTTTAGTGCCAGATTATTAGGAATTAAGTGGGTGTTTTTTTTTTTTCTTTTCCTTTTTTTTTTTTTAGTTGCATACCCCCATTTAGGCAAAAATAAAAATGAAATCATGTTTAGAGACAATGTTTGCAGATTACACTGAGTAGATAAATTGGTGAAAGTCAGGAGACTTGAATATCAGGCTGACATTCTTTCTACTCACCATCTATTTTCTTTTTTTAACCATAAGGGTGAGTTGAAGATTGTCTTCCTTTTACATTGAATTTCATACATTAGTATCAGAAATAAGTTAATCACTTCATGGCTTCTGTTCTTCGAAGTACTTTAACACCTAGATTTATTTTTTCATTAGTCTCTGGAAAGCAAGAATTTCAGGGGTTTTAATAAAAATTTAGTATATGCCCCCAAAAGACTGGGACTGTTCTATTCAGATTAGCAGAAAAATTAGTAATTTGATCATGTGAGAGAACTGAACTGTTTCAGAAAATTAAATATAAAAACACTTTTTTAAAACTGCCTAAACATTTTTATGCAATAGGAGCAGTTCTGGTCTATCAGGCAAACATGTGTTTATATATTTTCTTAATTTTTTAAATGAACACATTTAGCTGAGGTCTATTGTGTAAATATATATTTAGGCAGCTTTTTCAAATGCATATCATAGCTGATAAACCAGAAAATCTCCATTCAGGTCTATGGTTTAGATTTATATGTATAAATACTTTTTAAGCAACATATTTTGTACACAGCTGTTCCTCTCGTAAATATGTATTTAGGACATGAACTATGTAGTAAAATCCTTATTAAAAATGTCTAATATCTTGGTAGTATTTTTCTCTTCAAAATGCCAAAAGTGATAAGAGCATGTTGTTCGTAATTGCTTTCCAAATTCATCTTTAAGGCAACTCTTAAAGTACTTTATATTTAAATATAGAGTCTGGGAATTTTTTAAAAATTACACAAGTACAGAAAGTAACTTAATGCTAGTATAAAGACCTATCTAAAATTCATATTGACATGTATGCTGAACTTGAAGCACATCTGAATTAATATATGAAATTGGATGCCTGAGAAAAATGCTGTCTTAAACTTTAACTGTTGTGCAGAATCTTCACGAAGTGGTGCAGTTTCATTGCTTTTTCTGCCATCTTAAATTTATTGGCTCTATGGAAAACATGGTTTCCAAAGCTTTTACTCACTGGTTGATTGTCACATTCTCATGTTCTCAGAAAAAAAAAAAAAACGCACAATTCTTTTTCTTGGTTCTTGTATGGCATTTTAATCGTAACTATTGAGTTTCTCTGAATGGCTTCAGTGCTGTCAAATAGAGCAGATGAATCTGGCAAGTGTGTACCTGGTCTTTTGCCAAATGTGTCTGGTTCACTGTGCCATTTCAGTCACCTCAGTGGACCAACTTTGGTAAATTGTTCAGAGATGGTTCTTTCTGTCCAATAGTGGAAGGGTTTTGAAGCAAATACTAGGTGTAACCATGTACCACTGTGGGTGTAGATAAAAGGCAGATGCACTTCTTTGTATTTCTCATTTTAAAACTTTATCCCCTGTCCTAAGGTTAGAAGGGTCCCTATTCTCATCACAGCGTGCTGGGATTTAGAAATTCTCAGTTTAAGGTCACTTTGAGTAAAGCATGTAAAACCCCAGGCACTGAGATGACAATATAGTCCTAAAAACCCGGTCTCAAGAATGTGTTTATGCATACACTCATGTGACTAAAGCATCATATAAATAGGAACTAATCTCCTGATAGCTACAGCTTGTTAGTCATTTGGAAACATTTCGAGCACAAGAAATGCAGCACGTTACTTGCCTGGGTAAGGGTGTTTGCATGGTAAGGTGAAACGCGTTGTATGAGCTGCTGCGTTGTTCTTTCTTGTAAAGGTCTTCCTGAGTTGGATCAGCTAGAGCTGGCAGAGCGTAGACACTTTATCATAGGCTGCCTTAGTAAAAAAAACAAATGTTAAATCTGTTTTATTATACTAACTGTTCTAAAGAACGTGTGTCTCTTAAAATGCTGTGTAACTGAATATTTATTTCCATGTGAGTATTATAAAAGTTACCAAAGGATTAAACCTGATTTAGCACTCTTGTAAGCAACCCTGTTGAGGCAGGGTCTTGCAAAGGCCCTGATCTGTAAAACAAGACACAGTCAACTCAAATACGGTTCTTTATGGAAATGAAATAACAGGGTTATGCCATATTGTAACAACCTATGTTGCACCTCAAAGCATTTTTCTATACACTAAATGTCTCTCCTGCCCTCTAACAAGATTAAGTTTCCTTTATTAATTTTGTTGATGCACATTTCTCAATCTTTTAAACATATATTTTAAACATTTTATTGTCTGTAATTTTTGAAAGTTTTCGTCTGTTGGACACTTTATGCTGAATTTTACTTGCCTCTGTTCCGAGTTGGATACTACAGCGTTAAACTTGCTGTCTGTTAAAACTTGAGGCTTCTTTTCTGTGAGCAGGAAAGCTCATATAGCAGTGTAGTTATTTCAGTATTTATTTCTATTATTGAATCCATGGGGTTCAGAATGTAACTTTGTACATGAAATATATATAAATATGTATATGAAACATACACTGGATTGGTGTTTTTTGTAGTCTCGTGTTAAGTTCAAAAGTTATTGATGGTATCAAAAGTCATAATAAAAAGCAACAATTCTGAAGGAAAGTCTGCCATGAGATGGACCTTGTAGCCTTCCAAGTAAACAAGCGTCGTGAAGCCTGAATTTGTTTCCATCCACTGGATTCACAGGGTGGGAGCTTCAAATTTATGCTCTAGCTCCTCCCCAGCCCGTTCCCTCGGTGTCGAATGCCCTTGCTGAGGAGTTCTGCTGTGATGCCTTATCTGTTTGTGGGTGTGTGTTTTTTTTTTCTTTTTTTTTTTTTTCTTTTAAATCTTCTTGATGTTTAAAAACTTTATTTTGCTTGTTTGCCGGAGTTTTCTAGCAAGACTTTTTCCTTGTGGAGCAGGTCTGCTGACAGCTTTCCCTCCCGTCGCGGTGTTTACCCATGGCATGTGTCCATTGGCACAGTGCTGCGCACGGTGTTGCACCGGGGCAGTGCACACGTGTTTAACATACAAACAAGTACCATGAATCCTTACTCTGGGAATGTTTAAGCTGTTCTTCCAGCCTTGCCAGCACCTTATTCTGTGCATGTGGGTAAGCCATTACGTTTTTTCAGATCCTGCTTTAGGAATGCCATTTGAAAACTGTTTTATTTATTTATTTTTATGCCATTGCAAGCTCAAGAGAAAGGAAATGATGAGGAGAATGAGAACAAGATTATTACTGGAAGGAAAGAGAAGTATTAGCAGGGGAGGAAGAGAAGTCTTAATGGAAGAGGAAGAGAATGATGGAGGGCAAGGTAGAGAATTATTAGCTGGAGAGGAAGGCAATAATTAGTGGGAAAGGAAGAGTTTATTACCAAGAGAACAAGAGAATTATGAGAGAAATGGGAAGATAGCTATTACCAGGAGAAGAAAAGGACTATTAGCCAGAAAGGAGCAGTATTAATAGTGGCATATAAAGCGAATTATTATCCGGCATGCAAAATATTTATTGGGAGAATAGGAAGAAAAATATTTGCAGGAGACAAAGAGATTTACAAGGAGCAGAGGAGGAGATTTAGCAGCGGCAGCAGAAACTATTAGCCAGAGAGGAACAGTAATAGTGGTATATAAAGTGAATTATTATCTAGCATGCAAAATATTTATTGGGAAGAAAATTATTTGCAGGAGACAAAGAGATTTACAAGGAGCAGAGGAGGAGATTTAGCAGCGGCAGCAGATGACCATGGTTAGCAGTATAAAAAGAGAATTATTACCTGCAGTGAAAAAGAATTATTGGGAGAAGAGGAATAATTTTATTGATGGGAGAGGAAGAGATATATTAGAGGGAAACCAAGAGAATTAAGAGGGAAATAGGAAGAGAATTTTTAGCAGGAGTAGAATACAAAGATTAGCTGGAGAGGAAGGCGAGAATTAAGGGAATAAAAAAAGTGATTACAAGGACTGAAAGAGAATTATTGGGGAAAAAAGCAATAAAATTCTTAGCGGCTGAAGCCCCGATTTATTAGCAGGAGACCAGGAGATGTATGAGGGAAATCAGATAATTATTAGCAGGAGTAGAACAGAAGTACTTGTTGGAGAGGGAGCGATATTTAAGAGGCGTAAAAAGAGAACTGTAAACGGGCATGTGTGTCATCCATTACCGTTGCAGCACCGACTTTCCCTCACGTGCTGGGGGGTGGGTGCGCTGGAGCGCGTTGCCCACGCATGCCTCCCTTTGCGCTGCAATACCGAATTGACACCTGATGGAAGTAGCGGGTTCCTCACAGCATTCCACGCCCGTGGCCTCCCCGTTATCTCTGCAGTCCCCCTTTGCCGCCCCGGATCTCCTCTCCTTCCCCCTGCGGTACCGGTTTTCTAACACGCGATGGGAGCAGTGACTGCCCCAGGGCGCCCTGCGCGTGTGCCTCAGAGCGCTCTGCGCATGCGCCTCCTTCCGTTACCGTTGCCGTATCGATTTTCTGACACGGGATGGCACCAGCGAGCACCATGCGCTGATAATCGGCATCCCTTACTAAGGTACCAATTTTTTAAGTACCAGCGGGTAGCAGGGAGCATTGCACAACCCACAGTGGATGCGAGCTGATCTTTCATTTGCAACTCTCTTTTAGCGACACGTTCCAGCAGTTTGCTTGCTTTCCTGGAAGAAACCGCCCCCTTTTGTAGAGATATGTATCTGTACACCACCCTTACCTGGAATGAAGCAGGCACCTTCTTCAAAGGCAATTGCAAGAAAAATGTTGCCTCTCAGTCTTAATACAACCTTTCCAGCCTGGGGGAGCTATCCAAGCGGCCATCTTCGTGCCCCCTTTACTTGCAGTGCTACTTTTTAGACGCACGATTGCAGCAGATCGGGGTGGGAACGTTGCCTTGCGGTACCTGTTCTTCTCCACGCGAGGGCAGCACGGAGCGCGGAGGAAGGCAGCGCGCATGCGCAGGGCCTTTCCCTTTGCAGTACTTGCCCTCGGCACAGGAGGCAGCAGCGAGCGCTCCGGGGCGCACTGCGCATGCGCTCCAGCTTTGCTCGTGCTGCACAACCTCCCAGCCACGTGATGGCAGTAAAGGACATGGCAAGTAGTGGAGCGCATGCGTGGCCACTGGTCGGTGGGCGCATGCGCAGACCCTGGTGTGTGTGTCCGTGTGTGTGTGTCCCCGCGTGTGTGTCCGTCCCCCTTCCGCGCATGCGCACCGGCGCCCCCGCGGCCACAGGCGGCGTCGAGAGGCTGCTCCGCTTCCCGGAATATCTGCGGTCTCGTTCTCGAACCATCATCACACCCTCACTGCTGTTAGGGTGTGAAACACAGAGGCCAGACTTCAGAGGTCATCCCCTTCTCATGTCTGTTCTGGCTATTCATTCTATCCTTTCTGAGGCTTGAGGCGCCTTTGATTTTCTTTCCATTTTCCAGAATTTCTGCCAGCCGTGAACCCCTTGAAGCTTTCCCAACGAAGCCCCTGTGACTCATGCTGATCTGGTTTTAGTACCTCCCTGGTGTTATGGGCACCACAACAGCTTTCAGAGGAACTCACTGTGTTCCTGCTGCACCAAATGCTCTAGCAGCGCTCAACAGATGGGAAATCTGCCGCATGCCAGTTGGGTAGCCCAACTGTTGAGATTATCTGTTTTCTTTTGTTTGTTTGCAAACACAGGTAATAAGTAGCAGGGTGCAGATTTCTACATCTCTTTGGAAATTTTATCACTAGAAATAAGGTGTATCTTGGCTAGGAGGACATGAAGAGACCCCGAGGACCTTTATGTTACAACTTTTAAAGGATAGCAAGTTATTACATATTCAGTACTTCAGTTTACATAACCAACCAGATATATCAACAATTCTTGGTTTTACCAGTCCTCTTGCCATGACAGTACAAGGCAGTTCTGTGGCAGATTGATATGGTCCATCTTACAATTATTCATTATCTGATTTATACCTCCTCTTGCATTACCTTTGAGCAACTCTTTGTGTTGCTGGCTGTATTTAATTTGGTTCTTGCTGACTGGATTGATTTTTTTTGCAGATTTTCAAATTTTATGAAAAATGGGGCTAACATGAGGCCAGGTAAGATGCTCTGCTTGCGTGGCACCATGACCTTGCATGCTTATTCTCCACAAAATTATAGTGGAAATTTTCTTAACATACTGCTCAGTCAAAAGATCCCCTCCAGTGTTTGAGTCTGCAGTGATCTGCTAGCACTTCTGGAGCATTTTTTTTTTCCTCCATATTGGGCCACTGCACATTGATCAGGCTGTCCTAGCAGTAACTTTAATCTGCTCACAACCCAGCCATCCTACGAGGTGATCCTGCTTCTCCACAGCGTGTGGCAGGACAGTCCCCAAGTCACCCGGTTGTGACACCGGGGGCAGCACAGCCCTGGGGGCGGGGCACGTGACGCGGGCCACCGCCCGCGCGCCGCCCCCGTCGCTAGGGAAGTGACGCCACCCGTATGGCGGGGCCCCCGCGCCCGGTGCCGCTGCCGTTGAGGCGCCGGGTTTGCGGGGAATCCGCGTCCATCCTGCAGTGGGGCGGCGGCGCCGCTTCCGCCTGCCTCGCCGCTGCCGCGCGGCGGGATTGAGGCCGCGATGGCATCCGGAGCCGCAGGGCTGTGAGGCGGTAGAGCGCGAGCCGATAGGGTGGACAACGCAGCCGAGCAGGGTCGAGAACAGAGCGAGCTGTCGCTATGGAGCTGAGGGTCGGGAACCGCTACCGCCTGGGCCGCAAGATCGGGAGTGGCTCCTTCGGGGATATTTACCTAGGTAAGGAGGGTAGCTAGGTAAGCTCTTCTTTGTAGAGTTGCGGGAGTCGGACCGGGCTCTATTCAGGCTCATGTCTGCTCCCTGCCCTGCGCTGAGGTTGGGTTGGGAGCTTCCCCCGGACCTCATTTCATTCTGGCCAGAGTTTGGACCAAAAAAAAATTGTCTTTCGATGTAAGGTACCTTGACACTGGTGTACTAACAGTTTAGTTTTTTGTTAGCGTCATGTCCTAATTTAGACAGTGCGGAAATCGGGACTAATGGATTATTAGGTCTGCCTCTCCCCGTTGTTGTCCTGTGACCTTGGGCACCATCGACTTTTTCATGAAACGTGGATCTCAAGGATCTCAATCCCTTCATCTGAAAAAAAGAAATCAGAAAAATATTTTGAAGCAGAAACATGGCCCTCTGTATTAAGTGTAACTGCAGTGGAGTAGAAGAAATTGCTGTCACGGGAAGGAAAGACTATGTTCTTCCTGTGAGGCCTAAACAAATTAGATAACTGGATAATTGGAGCTAAAAAAATACATAAAAGAAAAATTAACTCTTCACAGAATCAGCATATTTCAGCTGTCCTGTTGCTCGAGCGTTGCCATAATGTCTTAATACATACCTCTTATTCTGCTACTGTGGTTTCTGTGTGACTCTAAAGTTTGCAGGCCTAGAACTATCTTTTCCTGCCTCTTTATGTATTTCTTTCTGTCATAGCGGTTCATTACATTTGGTAAACAGAGGAGTATACAAATTCTGAAAATATGTATTTTTAAAACAGTGTATTTTGCAATCCAACAAATATTAAGAAATAAGGTAAATCCAGAGAAACATAAATTTTACATGCTGCCACATAAAAATGAACATTTTGCCTCTGAAAGTTGTGATGAGATATCAAAAAACATGGAAAAATTGCTGGAGCTAAGGAGAGTTAGCTGCAAATGTCTAGAAGGTATAAAGAATGTTGCTGGTACAACATTAGACTGGTGAAACATTAGTATATTAGGCAGCATACACCATACACGAGTGCTTTGTATTGCAGCACACATTTTCTGTTATGAAATAATGCTAGTGAAAGCTCTGCTTGTGTATATTATTGAGAGTTGGTTATCCTTGATACAAAACATATGCCTGCTGGAAATTCAAGATCTCTTGCAGAAGGCGTGTGGATTGTATAGGAGCAGAGAACATGACTTTCTGTCTCTCTAATGTGTGTATAAAAGACTGAAAACTGTTGTGATAACATTTCTGCAAAATCTACCCCTGTCTTTTGGGTGAGAGAGATTAAGACAGCAAATCATTTTTGAAAAATCTTAGCTAATTTGGGAAACTCTTACCTCAACTTTTGACTACTCAGATGAAACTATTCATAACAAAGTACAGATACTCAAACTTTAATTTGAAGTCCAAATTCACTGATAAAAAGAAGTCTGGCAATGCTGCTGTTACTGCCCCAGGTGTGGTGGCTGGATTGGAAGCAATAGGTATTTTGTTTGTCACTTCTATCTTCATGCGTAGAACCCACCCTACAAAAATTGCAAAGATAGTAGTTGGCATTGCATTCACTGTGTTTTCATTGTTTTTTTTCGTTACATACATTCTATTCAGGATGGTTTTTGGGTAGTTAACTATTAAAATAACTCAGAGGCTTCCATACTGATAGAGGATTTTGCATCATACTAAATTACATTATTTAAAATAAAATATTTTAATAACTCTTCAGGCTTTTTCTGTTCACTTACATGAAGTGATTTGTATTACACAGCTTATTATTACTTATAATTTATTACTGTATTTGCCATAAAGGAAACAAATTGGTGATTACAAGGTTTACAATCCTGCTTACAATCACCTCTACAGTGAAAAAGGTTTGCTTAGTTCAGGCAGAATTCAGGCAGAACTTATTGTATTTCAGTGTATACCTATTGCTTCTTGTCCAGAATGATAGACAGAGCCCTTACAAGGATCAAGACTGTGGTTAACCAGGTTATGGCTTGCTACTATATAGAGCAGGATCTACCATGCAAATCTCACCCTAATCAAAGACAGACATCTGCAACTATCTGTAAAAAGAGATGTGCCTTTCAGGGCACCCTGAGTGTCAGCAGTTTGTGTCTGTCTTATCAGAATAAGAAAAAAAGCTGGTTTTGGTGCTGATCACTCCTCAGATAATATTGATCAGTGAATGCTTAGTCTGCCTTGTAGGAAAGTTCAAAATTAAGTTTATCAAGGTTATCTGCTTTCTTTGTGGTGCAAAATGAGAAGGCAGTGTTTTCATCCTTGTATCATTAAGCAGGGGGGGAAATATATTGGTTGTTTCATGTTTCCGAATTGATGTGTAGCATCGTTCCTTTAAAATCCATCAAAATAATTCATTCATTAAAGATGAAAATCTTAGATTACAAATTGAGGATTTTCTGGTTGCTGCTAATGTTAAATGACACAGGTAGCAATCAGGGATCTTGCCACCCATCGTAGCTCAATTTGAAAGAGAACAGGTAAGCTAATTTTTCAGTCATTTGGTTATTGAAACAATTCCATATGAAAGAAAGACTGCTGTTTGGGAGGACAAGTGCTTGGTTCCAGATAGCTGCCACCAAAAAGATGAAATCATAAGGCATCAGCATATATGTGGAATATGCTGAGATTCAGTGAAATCGTAGTCTGATTCCAAGGCATAAGAGCAGACAATCTGAATTTGGAAAATTTCTTAGCTTTGAAGGGATGTATCGCCACATGCTGAACCCGCAAACATTCAGTGCGAACACTTGCACCATAAATGCACAAATAGAGTGGAAAGACTCCCCTCAAAAGGTGCACCTTTTTTTTTTTTTGGACATCCTCTCTAATGCTTGTGTTCTTAACTTCTATTGCAGAGGTTTTAGAAAACTTCAAAAGAATTTTAGGTAATCGTGACTGAGAGTACGTAACAACATCTGGATGTTTGTGATGGAGAGAAAACTTGTCAGTGTTTGCTTAGTTTCATCCTTTGCAAAGGAAATGTAATCTGTTTTTTTTTTTTTTTTTCCATTGTTTAGGAACTGATATTGCTGCTGGAGAGGAGGTTGCAATTAAATTAGAATGTGTGAAGACCAAACATCCTCAGCTCCACATCGAGAGTAAAATCTACAAAATGATGCAGGGTGGAGGCAAGCAAATTATTTTCCTTCCTAGAAAACTTAGTTGTTCTTATGACTTTGAGATGTATTTCATTTTTAAATATGTAACAGTTAAGATGACTTTTGGAAAATCATGAGGAAGTGGGAAAGGTGACGTGGTGGGTGCAGTACAGAGTGGCAGTTTTCAATCTATGGCTACCAAATTTTATGATACCCTTAATAACATCCAAAGAGGCATACAATCGCAGAATATTAAAAAGTGAAAACCTAGACCAATATGGAGCAAAGTTTGGTGTTGCTAGCAGTGGATTGATTGATTGGTGGTATTTCTCATGGATCAGTGAAAGAAGGTAACCACTGGTTTTGAGAACTTAACCTGTCTCCCTTAATATAGTAGCACAGATTCTAAACATGATAAATTGAGGTTTTTTTTCTTACATGTGTTACTGTTCTTTCCTATTTAATAGTATTTCCTTGCCAGAGTAATTCTAACGTGTAATGGTATTAACAGCAGAAAACATGAGTGAAACAACCTTATAGCTACTGCGTGACTACTACTAGAATAATTTGCTTACTGGTTTTCGAATTCTGCAGGTGTAAAACTCCGATGCATTTTTAGGACATAAATTTGATATAGTTAATTTTGCTGCTATTGTGTAGTCTGTGGAATTCTTTCTGAGAAATACTTCTTGTTCAGTTGCTTTTCAGTTCCTGCCTTTTGTCAGTTAATCACTGCCTGGGTGTAACCTGGCTGACTTTTATGGAGTAAAATACTTCCTTTATAGTCTTGTTAAAGGCAGGATGGTGGGTTCCTTCTTCTGACAGACACTGTGCAGAGGCAGATGGAGGAAAGTAAAGTAACCACACATGTTGGGTTTCCCTGTAAAGACAATTCAGGGAAAAGATATTAATATTAAATAAAGATATAAAGTAAAATTAATTACACCATTTCATAGCCAAAATACATAAAAATAACAGTAAAAACTTTTGAAATTGAGCATGAGAATATCTACATAT